GTGGGGACAGCAAAAATGGTCGAAAATACAGTATAAACTTCTATTAAGTGTATATTTTTAACAACATAGTGAAGGGAAGTTATTTTTTGCGAGTTTTACTGTCCACAAAACTGATTGAAAAAATTTTAGCCATAACAATGCCGAATGAAAAGAAAGGACCGTTGTTAAAAAGGAAATTTATATCTCTTCAAACAAAGATAGAAATTTTGGATCGAATTAAAAATCAAGAGCGGATAGCTGATATTGGTAGACATTTTAATTTAAATGAGTCAACTATTCGGTGGATTAAGCAATCGGAAGAAAAGATTAGGAATTTAGTCGCATCCGGATCATCTATTTTTGCGAAAAATGTTGCTTGTCCGAGAGCACCTATAATAGAAAAAATGGAACAAGCGCTAATATTATGGGTAGAAGATATAAACAAGAAACGGTTGACTTTAAATAAAAATGGAATTAAACACAAAGCCTTAAAAATATTTGATTATTTAAAACAAATGCGACAGTCGTCAGCTGATGAAACTAGTGTTAAATTCGTGTCTAGCAATGGCTGGTTTGAAAAATTCAAACAACGCCATTCCTTGCACAACATACACATACAAGGTGAAAAGGCCTCTGCAAATGAGAATGCAACAAAAATTATCCAGCAGAACTAGCAGATATTCTTCAAACAAAAGGTTATTTGGCTGACCAAGTGTTTAATGCTGATGAAACAGGATTATCATAAAAAAAAGTGCCTAACAGGACCTATATCTCAAAAAACCGCTCCTGGCTTTAAAGTTTCCAAAGATCGCATTACTCTACTTCTATGTAGTAACGCGTCTGGTGATTTTATTACCAAGCCAATGCTCATTCATCGAGCACTAAATCCACGCTCGATGAAACAGTGCAAGAAAAATGAACTTCTTGTGTATTGGAGAGCCAACAAAAAGGCATGGATGACTGGCCATTTGTTTAAGGATTGGTTCCATAGCTGTTTTGTTCCAGATGTAGAAAATTATTTAAAAAAGAACTTAGCATTCAAAGTCCTACTAATCTTAGATAATGCGCCCTCACATCCAATTGATTTAAATCATCCCAATGTTGGGATTGCATTTTTACCACGCAACACCACTTCATTTTTGCAACTCTTGGATCAAGGTATCATTGCGACTTTTAAATCATACTATATCTGTAAATCATTTGAACTAATTTTGGAGAAAATAGATTCTACAGATATTACAATCAGTGAAGTTTGGAAAAAATTTTCAATTTTAAATTGTGTAGAAATTATTGACTTGTCCCTAAAAGAAATGCTCCAATCGACTCTAAATGCTTCCTGGAAAGCATTATTATAAAAAATGGTCAGTCAGGAAAATGTTGTTGAGCCAATCCAGCGTGAATATGATAACAGAGAAAGCCTTGCACACGCAATAGGAGGCAATGGATTTACTGAAATAATTGTTGATGATATTATAGAATTAGTTACGGAAAATGAAATAAATGAAGCAGATTTAGTAACAATTATATCCGAAACATTACCGATTGAAGATAATTCTGAAGATCTTTTCAATGAAGAAACCAAAAACTTCACTCTGAAAGGTATAGAAAAATGTTTGGACATGGCAAAACAGATGGAATCTTACTTTTTAGAGAACGATCCTCTGCCGGAGAGAGCGGAAATATTTAAAAGAAATCTTCAAAATTGCTTATCTGCCTATCAAAAAATTTATAAAGATTTGCAAGGCAAGAGCAAACAATCTCTAATGACAGATTTTTTAAAATTTAAACCTGCTGGAAGTGCAGTGGAACTTGTTGATGAAACAAGCTCAGATCTTGAAATAAAGTCAGTCAAACGTTTTTGAACAACTATAATAGGTGACGACAAGTACTAAATTTGTGAGCATAACATTGTTTCTTTTTAATTTTGACTTAAAACAATATAATCTTTTTAGTTTTCATATGATGTTTAATTTTATTTAAGTTTTTTATGAAACGTTTTTATGTACTGTACATAAATTTAAAAAATGATGAAAATGTTACACAATAAAAGGCAGTTTTTCTCTTTTTAGAACCGAATCCCAGTTTTTGTATTAAGTTGGTGTCTCCTCTAACGCGATTTCCCACAACGCGGTATTTTCAAGGAATGTATCTACCGCATTGTAGGAGACTTACCTGTATTTCGAAGTTCACTGTGATAAATTTTTATTATATAGATGGATATATTTTGCATTGTGTTTAATGGATATAAGGTGGAAATTTTACTGTGAATTTACAACTTGTTTCAGAATATGCTACAAAAAGAAAAGTTGAAAAATAATTTAATTTTGACAATTAGTGAGAAGTGATCTTTGGATATAATAGTTTGATATAAGTGAGAGTATGTATTATAGGCTTACTAATTTATTTGTGCATATAATTATCTAGTCCTAATTTTGAAACATTTACGTTTTTTAGTGTTTACTAGCAGACCCCCGCCATGCGTTGTTGTGGCTCAAAATGTATCTATTATAAAAGTATAATCGACCCTGTAGGGGGAAATTTTTCGAAAAATTTTCTTCTTAGTGTACATTCTGTTGACGTACCCTATTAAAACGCAATCAAAAACGCAGAAAACCGCATCTAAAATAGTATAAATAGAAGCAGAGTTCTTTACGGTAAGTCTTAATCCTAACCGTCTCCCTTCATTGGGGAGAATTTCGACACGTATATTAAAACATGTGCGTATTCGAATGCAGCGTTGTGTCAAAATTTCAAAGGAATCGGTAGGAACAAACAAACATTACATTTTTATTTATATAGATAGATAGAAGATGATCCGCTTTAGTTCATTTTCACAGAAAAGCATACTGCCTTACAGAAAAGGAAACTTAGGGCGTCGTACTCGTAGCGCCATCTGTTGGACATAAAAGCCTTAACCTAGATGATATCTTTTAATTTATATGAATGTTTAACGGAATACTATATAGTCTATGTCCACCCTGAAGTTCCATTCTAAATACTGGTGAAAGAATTTTTGAAATCGGATGAGTTGTTTCGGAGATTACCCGCTACATCCAAACTTACTTATTGTACAAACATTACCTCTTTATAATATTAGTATAGATAAGCGTGTTATTTAAACATGTCTACCGATTTAGTGCTATTTTACATGAAACAAAGTGAAAGAAGAATACAAAGTTTAAAACCCCTTAATGCCCGCCTGATTTTAATTATGTTGTAATTAAGCATAAAAAATACATAAAAAGTACTTAGAACTGAAAAAAGCAAAAAAGAAATGCGTTAATTTTGAAGAAATAGCTTCAAATTTTATTTTCCTTTGTCTGGCCTTTATGTGAAATTTAACACCGATGAGTCATTGTTTACACAGCTGGATGACCTTGAACACAGCTGGAGTCGGATTTCCCAGGCATTCTCATATATGTCTCGGGAGGACAAGGGTTTAAAGTAGGGTGAATATGAGAGACACGTATATTTTTAAATATTTTTAAAAAATTAAAATTTTAATTGCGATTTCCGACCCCCCTAATTAATTAAATTAATATATTAAAAAATCGATTAATTAAAAAATTTAAAAAACTAACGGAGGTCGTTTTTGACATCAGAAAGCAGCTTGAAATAACTTTACCTAAGGAAAATCCGTGTGCTACAACTTAGGAACCATGAAATAAATTTGATAAAAAACTCCCATTAAAAAACAATTAAGCCTTAATCGAGCCTTAATCGAGCCTTATCAAAGGCTCATTAAAAACGCGATAAAATTTTTCTGCGCGGACAAAAAATTTTGAAAAAATTTGGGGACCTAAAAAACATTTCAAAAATTAAAAAAAAAATTGTCAAAAGTAGCCTTAACTTCCGAATTTTACTTAACGCTATGTAACCTGGACGAGTGTTCTCGTGATTGGGCGTTAAGGGGAATTAGCAAGTAATTTCTTTATTAGCAAGTTAAATTAACTTGCTAATAAAGTTGTTTGATTTTTTGTTGTTTGTTGTTTGATTTTTTTACATATTAAGTGTAATGAGATGAAACTAAATGGATGTGAATATAGGTAGACCGTCGGCTTTGCTGGATAGTGTCGGAGCTCTTGCGCGCGATAGCGTGAATTACAGAAGTCAAACATACTTTTTTCTGACGCGAGCCAATTAGTAATATTAATTTTTTTAATCAATCAGATCATGGCTGGAAGCTTAAATTCGATTCATGTCGATAGAGGGTCCTCTAAAATTTCATATTTAGTTTAATTTTCTTCCTTTTATTGTAATTTCTCGAGAATTACAGAATATATAATGTAATTTGTTAAAATTGTTAGCCACACTGTGTTCTATCAATACTTACTTGATTGGACATTCTTGTCGGCCACACCCTGCATAAAGCGTATTGCCCTAAATCGTTACCTAACTATATCAGAATAGCAAATCAGAGATAACAAATATATCTAAGTGATCAATTTGCAGCAATTCATGCAATTAAATCTAAAATGAAATTTATAATAACTGTTATAACGTTTAATTGTTTTATGACTCTATTAACAAATGGATAGAGAAGGGAGTTTTTGTTTACACAGTAATGAGACAAGTAGCACTTCTTGTCATTAACCTTGGAGAATGGGAGCAGCTCACTTGACACCCTGTTGTGAAAATAATAAAGTTTAAAACTGACCTTGACAGACCTCTCTAGTTACTAAGAATAACAAGGGGAGCATCTGTCACTGCTGTATCTTCGTTATTAACTTATTTCTTTCTTATAGGCTAGGTGTAATTCACTAAATCTTTTAAATAATTATTCGAGAGAATCATGTGACTTTTGTGTTGAGAAAGAAATTGTGGATGCTTGGCATATTTTGGCTAAATGTAAGCGTCTTAAAGTGTTACGAGCAGAAATTTTCGGTTGTGAAGTTCTTACCAGGGGGCGTGATTCCTCTGCTATAAATTTAGCCTTGTTGCTGGTGTTGTTTGGGAGCATCTGTCACTGCTGTATCTTCGTTATTAACTTATTTCTTTCTTATAGATAAGTCTTTACTATTATGGCAGTCAATCCGAAAAGAAAATCGTATTCACCGAGCTTCAGGGAAGCAGAGACCAGTAGTAAAAAGAAATCTTTGAAGAGTCGCGAGGAGGAAGAATTTGCATATCTTCTGGAAGGAGAAGATTTTAACCTCGAAGAGGGTATACGTGTTCTGTTGCGTTTACATCTCTCTATGAATTCTAAGGTCGACCAACTTATTTCTAGGTTAAATTATGTATCCGAATGGTTAAAAAATTTGGATGAAGGTTTGGCTGACTTAGATATTAGATTAGAAACATTAGAAAAATTGGTTGATAAAAACTGTAGTTTAAGTGATCAAAGTAATGTTACGAAAAAGTTTAATGATATTACTCGCGAACTTGATTTTTTGGATGGTCAACGACGAATAAATAATGTTGTCATTTCCGGTTTGGAGGAGATTCGGGATGAATCTTCCGTAGAAACTAAAGAGAAAATAATTGAATTTGCTTCACGTGTTTTACAAATGCCCGATATTAAAATCGGTAGGGCAATGAGAGTTGGAAAGAAAAAAGCTAATTCCCCAAGACTGATTATTTGTACTTTTGTTGATTATTATGAAAAAATGTACTTTAAGAAACGAGTTTTGGAGTTAAAACCGGATGGTGTNTAATTCTTTATATAATCAAGACGTTTCCCTTAATATTTTGTCTTTATTTATACAGGCTAGGTGTAATTCACTAAATTTTTTAAATAATTATTCGAGAGAATCATGTGACTTTTGTGTTGAGAAAGAAATTGTGGATGCTTGGCATATTTTGGCTAAATGTAAGCGTCTTAAAGTGTTACGAGCAGAAATTTTCGGTTGTGAAGTTCTTACCAGGTCTTTATTTTTTAAAATTATATCGGTACCATGTTATCAATTTAAAGTGTTCTGTTTTCTAAGAAAATCTGTTGATCTTTTGTTTTAGGGGGCGTGATTTCTCTGCTATAAATTTAGCCTTGTTGCTGGTGTTGTTTGGGAGCATCTGTCACTGCTGTATCTTCGTTATTAACTTATTTCTTTCTTATAGGTAAGCAATTTGCTTATTTTTGGTTTTTATTTTATTTATTAGTTTTTTGTATTTTATTGACAGATGCTCCCAAACTTTAACTAATTATTATATTTGATTTTTTAATATTTAATTTGTATCTAAATTGTTATGTATTTAATTTATTATTGTATAATCTGTTTGTGATCTTATGATCATTGTATTTGTGTTTTTGTTCTTTGGGAGATGGTTTTGCTCCTAGCATCAAGGAGTGTATCCAGTATGCGTAATAAATAAATAAAAAATACTAAGAATAACAAGTGGAGAGCAGTTGTTTAAACGGTAATAAAACACTTTATTACCGTTTATTATAGAAATGAATAGACATCTCCTCCTCTACTGGGATTACCGCAAAAGCAATAAACATTTAACACTGGACTTTGAAACACGATCCATTCCCCTCAGATTACAAAGGAATCGACGAAAATCGATGAAAGTTGAGATAATTATTTGCAAATGAAACCTGATCTGTTTATTTTAAGGCTGTATCGTCTCTAATTACAGGAAAATATAGTAAATTAAACGTCATAAAAAAGGAAAGTATGAAAATAAAAGATGGAATCGTAATTTCTGATGATCAGTGGTGGCTAATTTACAATTTTAAAATTAAAACGGCGGACGCTACGCACGCAGTATTAAACAAGTGATGATCAATAAGCCTTGTCAATCTGTATCACACTTGACGGCAGAATTAAGTCTCTCTGGCTCGATTTCCTCACACCTATTAATGCTCAAATCGGGCCAGTCCACTTCTAACGCCTTTGCTAACAGATAGGGCTACTTGGCATATCAAGTGATCAATTCCTGGAGCTGCGCAATCGATCTACATCAAGCCAAATTCATTGTCCAGTGCTCAGTCGCAGGCGAAGCTGTGTGCAACACTCTGGGAGTGAGACGTTGCACGATGCGAGGCATGCAGGGGAGGCCATCAAGTTAACAGGAAAAGGAAGGGGAATGGGAAAACGTAGCGCCGAAGGTGCCTGACAGAAGTCCACAAGATACAACCTATCTAAGTAACAGACTGAAGAGTGGCGAAAGGCCGAAACGAGTATCTATATTGATTATAAGTTGATGATGAAATTATTTGCCAAGTGTCAATAAATTCACCAAGTTGTGATATTTAACCAAACAAAACTTCCATTTTTAACACTTTCATTGTTGAAGCCTTGATCATGTCTCTCTCCTTCACGGGAAGAATTTTTAAAGTCCCTTCTTAGTTTGTGTTCTCGTGACGTACCCTAACTGTGTACCAAATTTCAACTTTCAACTCCTAACTGTTTGGGCTCTGCGCATATTATTATTATGAACCTGTCTCGACTATATATATAGATTAAAGATCTCGTTCGATTTTGAAATAATACAATATGATTTACTAAATGTTTTCTTAGATGAACAATAATTTACAGGATGGTTGAAAATACGTTCTGAACAAGTCTGTGAAATTTTCAATATTAATTACGTTGTTTTAAGGCAACTAATACTATTCGTCTGCCTACCATTTGTCTTCATTTGTATAACATAACACATCATTTTACATACCCTTCAAACAATAGTTACAGGTCATTTAGTATTTCGGACAATTTTACATATTACAGTAGAACCCCTCTAGTCCGCCCTCGGCTAGTAGTCACTCCGGTTAATCCGACCGTGGTCGGATTAACCGGAGTGGTCGGAGTCGAGAAATTTGTCCCGACTCGTCGGTGACTCACCGTCCGTGGCGTTTTTCTGTGTTCGTTACAGTATATGTTTTACATTGTTTGTACATGTACAGTTTTGTGCGTGTTTTCAACATGTCAGGAGTGAAACGTAAACACGTTGCTCTTTCATTAAATGAAAAATTAGCAGTGCTACAAAGACTGTACAAAGGGGAAGATTGTTTATTTTACTTTTTTCTGATAATCCGACCTTTTTTGCATTCCAACCATACCTGCAGTCCCAAAGGTGACGGATTAGTGGGGTTCTACTGTAGTACCATAGATTGCGTTTTTTAAAAAACAAGGTTTATCATTTCTGTGTTCACTATTTACCCAATAAAAAGTTTAATTTGCTCACTCTTCAAATAATGATAAAGCCATTCACAAAAAGCCATTCACATTTTGAGTTTTTTATAATGACATTCCAAAAACTTTACCATTACTTTTCTTGTTTTTAAGAGAAAATATATGAAAAAATATTTGCTTACAGAAGAGTTTGCTATAACTTAAGCTGCGACTATTTAAATACTAGTCAATGAATTTTTGGCAAGAACTTGAAGATAGTGAGCGAAAATAGACACAAGTTTTTATACACTTCAGTTTGTTTTCGCTTACGTTAAAATGATTATGCTGATGCGTGACTACTTGTGTTTTTGTTTGATAATAAAAGAAAATATCTCAATATCAACATTAAATACTGTTTAATTAAATTTAAATAAAATTACATTATTAAAACGGAAATTAATAAAACGAAGGTAAAATTTCATTTTTATAATATTGACTAACTTACAAAGTGAAATTATAATGTCACAGTTATCGATCCTATTTTAAAGATACCTCTCGTTTTTCCACAAAAACATCGTGAAAAAATTTTTTCTGGTAGTTCAAAATATGCATATGGATGGAAAATAGACAGCAAAAGACATTAGATTATATATACATTATGTTGATAGTGATTACTAAACGATCTATGTATATATATATAAATATATATAACACTTAGTGTATTATATATATACATTTGCATTCTCCTATATACTTATCTACGTTTCTGCTTCATAAGTGAATGCTTGTACACTCACCCAACTAACATATGAAGCAGAAACGTGGACGCTAACAAGCTAAACCGCACAGATGCTACAAATAACACAAAATATGCTGGTCATTAGCAGAAGAGACAGAAATAGAATCAATTAGCAAAAAAGGCTGCAAGATATAATTTAAAACATCATCAGTTCAAAATGGCAATGAACCAGACATATTACTAGATGAAAAGATAATAGAGAAACTACAAATGTTCTACACTAATACTGACAAAGCATTATACATGGGACGCATTGAACATGGTAAAATGGAAAAAGATTACAGCAGGTATTTGTCCAACAGTAGATAAATTGAAAATGGTTAATGATGATTGTGATAAAATATGATATCATACCATATAATCTATTAACCTTAGATTATTATACAGGGTGTATTTTTTATCTTCAGACAATTAAATATCTTTATTAGATCTCATTATGTTGGAAAAAGGTATGTATAGACGAAAGTTCTAGGGAGTGAAGAGGTGAATCAATTGGTAACTGACACGTGACCTTGATTTTGATCTTCAAGGTCATTTGAAGGTCAAGTCTGTTTTTTTTTAATGGGAACATGTATTTTTGACCCCAGCAATGGAAAGAGCAAAAAACTTTACATCCAGATGTACTGTACAAACATTTCATTTTAATAGTTGTAACCAGTTTTTATGAATTTCTATGCTTAGACTTTTGTTAATATTATTTTTGTCTGTAGTAATTTTGTAGCTTTCTTTAAATTTTCTTTTAGTACCAATTTTTTTCTTTGTGTACTATTATAACGTCATTCTGATCTATTTGGCAGTTATGAGTTGGGCAATGTTCGTAAAAACCGAGTTGATTCTATTATAGTTTAAATCTGCGATGTGTTCTTTTAACCCGTCGGCACGCACGTGCTCCATCAAATTTAAATTACGCGCGCTCGGTCAATTAGGCACCAATTTAAAAAATTAATTAATAAAAATTTAGCGTCAAAAAACGGGTAATTTTACTTTAATCCAGTTCTACGATATGTTTGTAGTCGAGTTTAGTCAAAAAATTTTAATTTTGTTATAATTATTTTGATGATTNATTCTTCAATGCAGCAGAGTATTAATATTCACATTCATGTCAACATACAGTAAATTAAAACCATAAAACTCTTCAGTTTCTTTATTTGAATTCTTGTGTTTCTTCTCTGGATTCGATTCTAGGTCAAGCAGAGTATTCTTCGAACATTCTACTACCTCAGCCATACTTCCCTTCATTCTTCAATCTAATATATAATCGAGATGGGTTGATAATAATAATAATAATAATAAGTGCAGAGCCCAAACGGTTAGGAGTTGCAAGTTGAAATTTGGTACACAGATAGGGTACGTCACGAAAACGCACACTAAGAAGGGATTTTTCGAAATTCCCATCGGGGGGAGAGATAGGATTAAGTCTTCTATATACATTATGGATACGAGCCCAAACGGTTAGGAGTTGAAAGTTGAAATTTGGTACACAGTTAGGGAACGTTACGAGAAAGCACAGTAAGAAGGGACTTTTCGAAATTTCTCCCCACGGGGGAGAGGGACGGGATTCAGGCTTANGGGGTTCTACTGTAGTACCATAGATTGCGTTTTTTAAAAAACAAGGTTTATCATTTCTGTGTTCACTATTTACCCAATAAAAAGTTTAATTTGCTCACTCTTCAAATAATGATAAAGCCATTCACAAAAAGCCATTCACATTTTGAGTTTTTTATAATGACATTCCAAAAACTTTACCATTACTTTTCTTGTTTTTAAGAGAAAATATATGAAAAAATATTTGCTTACAGAAGAG